TACTAGTTTACTTATAGTTTTTAGAGTGCTAAGGGTATTTAAGCGCGTTTTTAGGTGCTGTAGTAAACTAATAATTGATTCGTTCTAGGAATAAATAGTTTATTAATATAATCAGTAGAGTGAAACAGTCTGTGCAGAGAGCGTTTGAAACTTGTAACCGAAGAACTAGTTCTGACATCTAGGGGCAGGCTATTCCATATTTTAGAATACATCACTGTGAAGAAGATTTCACGGAGTGTTGGCTTAAAGGCTTTTATTGTCACTGTGCAAGTTTGGTTACGCAGATCGTAATAGCCTTCCTGTGCGAATTGTATGTCCCTGTTGCCTGAGAATGATATTTTGTGAAGGACCTTAAAGAAGAATATTAGGTTTATAATAAGTCTTCTTGTCCAAAGTGGGTCAAGTTTTAGGATCATGAACCGTGAGATGTAGTCCTACTTACAGTCGTAGCCAAGTAATTTTGAGGTAAAATGTCGTTGGATACTTTCTATCCTTAGCTTATCACGTGTGCGAGTGCTGCTTATAATAAATGGACAGTATTCTAATAGTGGCCTCACACAGGTTTTGTACAGAATTAGCTTGGCTTCATTGTCATGAAAGTTCCTGAGTATGCATCCTAAGAACATCCTCGACTTTCGAGTCTGTGATGTCACTTGCTCAGAAAATGTTAGGTCACTAGAGTACCTGAGGCCTAAGTCAACGACACTTCGGAATCTAGTTAGGTTAGCCGATTAAAGCGTTAATTCCAATTCAATTGAGGTTGCGCCGAAGCAGATTCAACCACATTTTTTACGGTTAAATTGTAGATTCCATAAAGACGACCAAGCAGCCACTTTATCTAATTCTTTCTGCACTACCTTCTCGTAGTACCCTAGGTCATCACATTGGAGTGTATAAGCTACTCTCAGGTCATCCGAAAAGATGAATGGTTCCCTATGTGAGAAGCAAGCGCATATGTCATTGATGTATAGTGTAAATAGGAGGGGTCCAATGACACTACGTTTTACCGCACCAGAAGTGATTGGGAAGTTACAGACCCGAGTTTAACTATTTGGGACCTGTTGTTAAGGAATGATTTGAACCATCCTAATAGTGGTTCACGTATTCCTAAGGAGTTCAGCTTATGTATTAGCAGTAAATGGTCGACATGGTCAAATGCCTTAGAAATGTCAAAGTAGATGACAAGTACTAGTTGTCGTCTGTCACGACTGCTGGTCACAAATTTAAAGAAGTCTAAGTGGCATGTTAAACAAGATCTGGATTTTAGGAATCCATGTTGGTTCGGACTTATACTGTTGCAACTAAGCATATGTTTGATTAGGTTATCTTTAACTAGTCTCTCCATAATCCTAGATGCGATATGTTTGATGTCGATGGGCCTGTAGTTACTGACCTCTCTTTTCGAGCTAGATTTGTGTTTAGGCATAATAAATGTTGTTTACCATATATCAGGGTAAGTTTGGGTTTCTAAAGACATTGTGAACATTTTAAGCAGTAGTAGAGGAATGTTAGGGCCACCATATTTATAAAAGTAGGATGATATAACGTCAGTACCAAAACATTTTGATTTTTTGAGGGTTCTTATAGTTTGGTTAATGTTAGCATAAGTGAATTCAACAGTACTAATTTGGTTTGGTGTGAGTGGAGATGGAGTTTGTGCCATATTAGTAGCAGGGTGTATATCGAGTAACTGGACTGAGGGCTTAAGGTAGTTACCTGCAACAGTTTTGCTGAATAATTCACACATATCTGCAGCATTAGTGCATAGCCTACCTTTGTCTATGAGGAGGGAAATGCTGTGATTTTTGCGATTCATTTGCTTCTTCAAGATTTCCGTGAGTGCATACACTCTAGCAGGACTGGCTACTACGATGGGTTCTTCATTTCTCATGCGGAAATCTCCAGCTTGTGAGATGGAGTTAAGGGTGTTAAGTATTAAACCAAGTGTGCCAAAGTCGTGGTGTTTGAAGTAACTTGTTGAGAGTCTCTTCAGTTTCGTGCGATCCTTTGGTTTTATGAATGGCTTTCTATGTGGGGAAAACTTTAGTGTTTGGAGTGGGATGACAGCATCTAAGCATGTGTTTGAGTTATGGTAGAAGATGCTCAGAGCTCTCAAGAGGTCATTAGTATAGAAGTACTCTCTCCATTCTGAGGATCTTATCATTAATTTCACTAGAGTCCAGTCTACCTTACTGTAGTTCCTGTGTGTTATTTGTTGTAAAGTAGGGGTATGGGCTGCATTGCTACTTGGTGGAAGTGGCAGTGCACACAGTACTGTTTTGTGGTCACTCCCTGAAAACTCAGAACCTACTAGGGTAGAAAGGGGACTTATATTGTGGCAGAAGATTAAGTCTAGTACTTTATTACCTCTTGCGGGGGTAGTGACAGTTTGTTTCCAGCCAAGTATATCCAGTGTGCCTAAGAACTTATCAAATTTAGTTGGGCCTGTGGGTATATCCCAGTTGATTTCAGGTAAGTTAAAGTCTCCACATAGGATCTTATGATCATAGTGTGGAGTGGATAATTGTTCCAGAGTATTAATAAGTTGGATCTCGTAATTACTAAAGGTGCCAGGTGCTCTGTAGGTGCATCCAATTAATACTATTGCGTTATCTAAGTGTTAGTAAAGTGTACTACTTCCTAGCTGTGATAAAGTAAATGCATTCAGAAAGTACATCAGACAACCCCCTCCCTTACCACCTTCCCTGTCACATCTAAGGTGTGTGTAGTTATCTAAGCTTATATCTTCATCCAGTATATTCGAATTATACCAAGATTCAGTGATGACAATTATAGGGGATTGTATATTACTGTGAGTGCTCTGAAAATCGGTAGTTTATTTAGAACAGATCTAGCAATTATGAGGATTAGGTAAAGATGAGATTTGACATAGCGTTTGAAGTATTTAAGCTCGTTAATCAGCCCCGAATATGGTTTAGCACCCAGTAGTACTGTTTGACATGACGACCTTATGTTAAGAGGAGTTTCACAATCATGCTCACCTATGTCTATCGAGTTGGTCTGTGCTGTTTTCGGTGGAGAATTAGGAGTTGGAGTACTGGATTCGCTATAGGCTAAAGTATTTTTATTTTTAGTTAGGCTGGCCGCGTGGGTAGTGCTCTTTGTTTGACCTATCCTTGTGCAAGTATCAAGTGTGCTTAATGGTTGCGGGTGCAGTAGACTGATCCTGTTTTCATTCAAGGGGGAGCCAGCGCTAGTGGTTTAGGACTGTTAACATCCCTACCAGCTGTTTTTCAACGCTGACAGGGACGCAGGGGATAAAATGATTGGAACCTTGTGATGACCATGGTTTATTATTCCACCTATTGTTTGATACTAGTTGTGTCCTTGTATGGGTTTCGTGTGTACTGTATTGTGGGTTAGTTCCCAGAAGACGTGTACCATATATACGATCAAAATTTATTTGTGTGTCAAACAAATTGACTGCTGGAGATGAAACAGCTGGAGTTCAACTGATTTGACGAACTTCTCTAATCCCCTACAAGTTATTGATTGAGTACAATCATGTGTTAAGAACGGAACGGAATTTGGATTGCCTCTGGACCCTGGTGAGAACTTTATATTTTAACACTTAGATGGAACTATTCTGATAACTCACGTTATAGTTCAACCACACAAAGCATCGAAACAGTACTCGTCTGTGGGCATTTGGGGATCGTGGTTTAAAATATATTTGATCGTGTCTATAAAAATAGCACTGCATTTCATGTAAATTTACCTGTTTAGATGTAAATATATTGTTTTTATCGACAATGAGCATATGATGTATATCAGTGGCGATGACTATCTGTGGGGATGGATGGCTTGCAGATATAGGACCTTTGTGAGCCAACTCTAGTATTTTGCCATCCAATGATCCGTAGATTATGGCGACAAAGTGAGTATTCATGAGATGACATAATATAGAATAGAAACATATCGATATGAAGTTACCTTGTAAGTTGTGTTCTACATCCAGTCGGAATTATCAGCTGACATGGCAATAAACAAACTTTCAGTCAGTGGTGTGGTACGTGTTTGTATGTCCTACGAGGTTTTTGGTTTGTGGGTCCCGGGAACGCTAGACCAAAAACGTCATTTACTTGAAGCAGTCAGCATGGATTCGACCACTGGGTTATACTACAACATTATTGCCGGCAACATCAACTCACCACCCGCAAACTTTAGGGAATAGAACATACTTATAGGTTTGCTATAATTACTTCAAACATGACTGAGTAGCTCAGAAAAAAAGAATGGAATATTGGGACCAGAATATCGGAACGTTTATGGATCTAATCAGAGCATTCAATCATGCGTCACATGGAATTCTCTTTAGAAAGATCTGTAAAATGGTGGTCATGAGCTCACTGCTACTCTGTGTTAAACTTAAGCTATAAATCAGGGAATTACTTTAGGAAGTGAATCGCGCTCAATCTACATGTAATCACCTGCAGTATCACAAGTCCCTAACTTAGGGCCATTATTGTTTCCCATTTGCGTTAATGACTTACCCAAAACTCAGGCTGCACAAACACTCTGTCAGGTGGATATGTGACATTGTTTTCGGCTTTAAAAAGCAAGAAGGATTGGCTTAATTGTTAGGGTGACAGTCATTTTCTAATTGAGAGGTCTTATATGGAGTCATACTTAATGTCAATAAGTATTAAACTGTCACTGAATTTAAAGGCTGGAACTTTGTAAACGGAATAGGGGTGACCTGACAATGACTTATAAAACAGTGAACAACGTGATACCCTTCAAATGAAGACATAATACCTGATGACCACTATTATTCTCTTCAGTCTTCAAAATGACCGCAATCTGGGACAGGTCAGATCTTATGCGCTGAAATCTGCCATATATGTACAGTCATACTGTGACAGTCGCAAACTAGCTACGAAAAATTAGTAGGTTTTACATCAGCCAGCTGCCAAAGCATTGGGCATTTAATATCGAATACCTAAGGCGCTTTATCAGTAAAGCAGCGTTACTTCGTCATGTCGGGTCTGTTGTCCAGATTTGGTGCTCGGTTGGTGTTTTCAAATAGAGCTATCTCGAAGCACCTGAGTCCTAAATCTTTCACTTTGCCCCAAGGCGTTATATGTTTCTCCACCGTCCAGAAAACACGTTACCAACCGTACAATGGGGAACAGTCATTCAAGGGATTTGAAAAAACCGATGATATTACTAAGCTAGAGCAGTTTTTGCGTAAACAAAGGCTTAAAGGCGCTTTGTATAGCGCTAAGGAGAATGCGAAGTTCACTGACCACTTTTGGGACAATATTATAGAAGGTAACCTCAATCCTATCGCAATTACGTAATTTTGCGTTCAGCTGGTGATGTGCTTTTAGCTGAGCGATACTTAAACATGAGAGTCAGATTAGGAATACATATAGATGCGGAAAAAGTTTTAAAGGATATGCGTGAGGCTAATATGCTTCCTACTACAGTATGTCCACTTCTTAAAATAATTTCTTTACTTTCCAGCGAATTTTCGGCGTCTTCATACATCAAAGTTGTGCTGCTGGTGACATGAATCAAACAAAGTAATACCACTTATAAATAACCATAAATTTTAGCTCATACTTGCGACTACTTCGCGATGCTGGTCTGAGGCCGAATTCATATATATTCTCTCAAATTCTACATGGTTATGTTAAAGCAGGGTAAGCGAACTGATCTCATTTTGAAGATTTCTTATCAGCATAATTTGTGAGAGGTGTAGTGATTATCACTTTAAACTTCGGAGTGAGGCTTTACCATAAGTAGAAATGTTAGGTTTAGAGAGGTTTCTATGTAAGGCGAAGTAATTTTGTTTTGGTGACTACCATCTGGGTAAGCGGTGTACGTCAAATACCCTAAGGGTACGTAACCAGTGTGATGTTCTGTGTTTAGTCAGAGTAAGAAAATTTGGATACAAATACGATTAACCACTCAGAATTTGCATTATATTAGCAAACGAGATCATGCATTTTGAGCTCAGTTTCGTTTACAATGAAGTTGAGTTATAGCGACCCAAGGGAAGGAAGGCTCCAATAACCTAGTGTGTAATCAAATCAAGGTAGTGGAACTTAGTGGAAACAACATAGTCGCAGAGAAATACTCAAAAGGTCAAGAAAAATAGACAGGATGCCTTTCTTTTTATTTGTTATGGATGATTGTCTCTGTTTCTCTTCTTTTACCCAAATTGTTCTGGTTGATGTTGTTGGTTGTTTCAATGCAATTGATGCATCTGTTCGTCTTGGTTTGCTATTCCCTAACTCTACTTGTATTCGGGATAAGTTGTGTTTCTGTGATGTGTTTGTAATAGTGTAATGTAACCGTCGGCAGGCTTGTGGTTACTTTCTGACGGTACAAACCCTCTGGAATTTAGGTGAAAGTGATGAATGGTCTTCTAAACGAGATAATGTAAGATTTGCATGGATTCATCCACATAATTCGATTTTGTAATCAATACTCCTACAATGATCTGAAACATATCTACTTTTTCGCGATTACCATTCTACTTTACTGGTATGTGCATTTCTAGTGGTACTTTACGGGACCAGTTATTCATACTCTATCACTCTGTCTTATCAAACACTGCCTTACATAAAATCGAATTCACCAACCTTTACCATTTTCCATGCGGATTTATCAATCCTTTACTTGCTTGATAATGTTAATTTTTCGTTACAATGTGAATTATATTTTTGGACTAGTCTTTAAGGAATACTATTAGTCTTAAATGATTATAAGTAGCTCAGCGTTTGAACTGACTTTGGTTTATTTTATTAACTTTCCAGACTGCCTGAAGAAGTTTCTTCAACACAAGAATTACTATCCGAAATAGGTTTATGGCCATCCAGATATGCATATGAAGGTCTTCTATCTGCTTATGCTGATCTTGGAGATAAACAAAGTTTACTACGAACTCTCGATGAAGCTTACGCTGTACTTCCTTCACTTGTAAATGCTGATGAAAAACACTTTGGAAAAGAAATTTCACCTACTTTTCTCATGGATCTTTATACGAGAATAAATTGTTCACAACCAGATTCAAATGCAGCATGCATTGAGGTATAGTAAAATGTCTTTTTTATGTATGTAAATTGTTTATACTTTGGCTTTGTCGTCAATATCTATTGCTGAGTGCACAATATGGGTTAAAGATAGAGAGTAAAGACGTAAAATGTGTTGACCACTTCACTCATCTGAGAAGTTGCATCAGCTACTATAGTCTGATTATTGCTGATAAAATCGCAGCATGGATACAAAAGGCTCGTGTCGCATTTGCCAATCTACGACTCCTCTGGCATAGACATGGTATGTGGTTATAGATTAAAGGATGTGTGCACTGTGCAGCAGTTCACTTTGTCCTTTGTGGCTGTGAGATATAGTCGTTGAAAGTGGAAGATATGAAAAGGCTGGCTGTCTGTGACTACACATTTACGTTTTATCTTCCGTGTTAATTGGTACAATATAGTGAGCAATGTTGAGGTTAGGTTGGAGTGTTAGGTAAGGAGTAGAAGTCATTCGATGTGGTTATGTGGATATATCTATTGAAATGACTTGGACACGTGTTGAAGGTGCCAAACTACTGTCTCCGTCGGAGAGCGACATTAGCTGAAACTTCATGCATTTATTCCCCTTGATGAATTTGAATAAAGCAAGAACAACAGTGGTTTGTGCAGAATAATAATGGGACCATCATTTATTTCTTTGGCTGACATACGATTAGGTTGAGAGTTAGGGGGTGGTCAACCAAAAACTTGAAGTTTTCGGTCCACGTGAAGAGATGTAGACTGTCTGCTTGGGGTCCTGAGAATGCTAGGAACCAATGACTGACGATTATTTGAGATGTGTCTCAAAATCGTTCTCACTGATGGCTCAGATGCATTCACTCTTTGTAATCTTCGATGTCCACGTTAATGTTCTTTCTTTCTCTCTCCCATTTCTGCGTACTACATTACTTCTGAATTCTTTTTTCTCTTTTGTCTAACTTTGTGTGCTACATGAAATGTGGCCGCTTGAACTGCTGTACTTCTTTCTGTATGAAGTTCTGTGTTGAAACTTTCAGTCAGTCATAATGTAGCCACTGAATCGAATAACAGTTTTACTTTGTACAGTCACACACTAACCCGGTAAATGACCCATATGAAAAGCATTTTGAGCTAAAATTTGTGATATAGAGTGTAAGGAAACTTATTTTTAAGTTAACTTTCCCGTTGCTATATATACCTTAGTAGCATTTTTCTGCTTTATTATTCTTTTTATTTATGTGAATTTATAGATACTTGAAAAATTGTCGCCAACGGATGACTTTTTCCCGTATGATTTTGCCCAAGATACTGTGAAAGTTCTCTTAGCCAAAGGACGTCCAGCTGCTGCTTTGGAAATTTTCAAAATTATGCGCCCAGAAAATGCAACTGACGGTTATCTACAGTCACTTCCACAATATGCTGCTACTGGTGGTTTGGTTAGTAACTTTTTTCTCCATAATTCTTTCATAAAAGTTATTTGATTACCTTTTTTTTGAGGCGAAGTGTTGAAATAATTGTCACTTGTTACAACTAATTGTCGTTACATATCACGAATTGGCAGAGGTAGGAATTCATGGGCCATTCGACTGGGTCCCAGCAGCTGCTTAATGGTCTACGAGCTCGCCTTGTAACCGGAAGACATAGAGTTCGAACTCCAGTGGGTGCTTACTGATGAAAAGTCCCAAACCAGGACAGAACGGCTTTCCAACACTCTATCAATCACTGGTTTCCCACTGTTTCTCTAACCGATGGCAGCTTTATGACCAAATCTGTAACTAGTTGGATCCTTACTGATCAACTCTTGAGTATTATCACTATTTTATCTCATCAAATGACTTGTTACTTTGCTTTTTTCCCTATTACAGAATTCAGAAGCATTGGAACCATTTTGGGATGCAGCCCGTTTAGACAATAAACAATTGATGGTGCTCAAGAATAAATGTAAATTATGTAAGTTGTAATGATTTACATATCGACTTATGCGAATGCCAATACTCCCTGCAGTTCGTCTACTTAAATTTATGACTATCTGTGGCATCTTCCCTCCAGCCTTGATAAAGTAACACCTTGCTGCTCATTATGTTGTAGAGGACTTTTTGAAGTAGTTATCGGTGTAACTATAGTGCAAAGTGCCTTTCCTAACATATGCCCATTTTGAGGGGTTGTGGCTCATTGGCTTAAACACTCGACTTCTAGCCAATGGATCCAGGGCTCGAGCTTCACTCTGCCTACGTCAATCTGGGACAAGTGGGTAGTGTTATCAGCCTTCAAGGTATGAGTGTGTGGCCTATATCTCGACACTGTGTAACCGAGCTCTAAGTATATGCCTGTTGTATTACAATGATTTCTGTGAAAGTATAGTTGTGCAACTGGGTCACTCGGTATAGATACTTCAAAATACTAGAGCCACATGTAAGGCTTGGACATTTATGAAAACCTCTAGTTTGTATAAGTCAAAGCAGGTGGTGGGATGACGTTGACACCGGGGACACAATAGTCGAAAGTGTGGTGTTAAGTGATGCCTCATTCCTGCCTTTTATGGACTTGGTAAAATCATGAAGCCAGAGTAGAATGAGGGATGTGTGGTTTGTAAAGTAGTATGCACCTTGAATGTGGTTTGTTGCTTAAGTTTCTACTGATAGTGTAAATTTGCTCATATACTGGTAAATTCTGTTTCCTTTTCTAAGATTTCAACCGAAGTACTAGACCGCCTAGCGTACTGGCCAATCAGTTTTCGAAATACATCGAAGAAAACAATGCCGAAGGTTAGTTGACTGTTGTTTTTATTCACTGTCTAACTTTCTGCTCTCAATCGATGAATTTATGATACATTTCTAACTGCAAAGTACTTGAAATTGTGTTATTGGGAAGTAGGTATGTATACATGTGTATTATTACCGTCGTGAACAGCATAAAGGCGTATAGTCAGAATGCTGCGATTAATTTTCAGCGTTTTGTTTCCACCGATTAGTCGATCCAGACTTTATTGTATGATGGTGGTTTTTTGGCTTCTGTCGTTTTCAGTGCACACAGATTGAAGAGGAAGTGAAGGGCCATCAAGTAGAGGAGTTGCATTAGTAGAAGAAAGGCAAGATAATAGAGATGAAGATGAAGACGAAAATGAGTGAGGATTAGAGAGGTTTCGCGTGCACTTCGGATTGGGAGGGCGATTGTTACTTCCCGGCTGCCCACACCGTGGAAGTCGGTTGCGTGACCGCAGAGCCCAGGGGACAACTGCTTGAGGCCGGTCACACGTGGCCTGTTTTTGTTTGTTCTTTTTGATTTGGTGTGTCTCAGTAGCATATTTATCACTTCTGCCCTGTGACACGGCAGCAAAAAGCGCGGTCGTTGTTAATCCGGGCCCCGACCGATCCGGAATGATATTTTGTGATTTGTTTGAAGTCATAGGATTGGATTGGGTAACTGCTTTTTGTCTAACCGCTATCCAAACAACCTTTCTGGCATGGTAGGACCTCAAGCGACATAAGTCTCAGCCAGTATAGCTTGTTGGGTCATTGCGGTGTTCAAGCCCGACCACCACGTCAAGGTAGCAGCTTTCGGTCGGGTATGAATAAACCATTAGTCATGTAGTATCTAGATTTTTAGTGTGATCATCCCTAAATCTGTTCCCAACCTAATTGTATTTCAACCGCAAATAAACGAAGAATGTGATGTCTTAACATGAGAGAGAGAGAGAGTAGCCTATATCTCAGATGATTTTAACCCCTGTATTTCCAACCACCTTATCGACCGGTTTCTCTTTGATTCGAACAAAGCAAGGATAACAAACTAAGCAGCATAATAAGATTTTATTGCATTATCGACTTTTATCAACTGCGTGTGGAATGCAGAACGGCTTTAATGTAACTGAAACGTATTCACATATTTTAATTATTCGGCTTGAAGATAGTCGTTAACATTGCGTAACTCAATGCAAATCTACGACACTGATAAGTGAAGCATAACAGACTGAAGGTAAAAGAGACTTCTGAATATTATATGTCGCATAACTAGGTCTTTGTCGCGGAAGGGATCAAAACAAATGAAACCAATAAGGGGTGTTCAAGGGAACCTAACAACTAAAAAAATGGGCTGACCACTTCAAAGGACTTTTGAATCGACCACCACATACAACTCGTCCAGAAATACCATCAGCGGCGGCACCAACAGAACTGCCTGTCAGTGGATACCAATCCTCCAGCGAAAACAGAAATCCTGAATGCAGTCAAGTTGCCAAAGTCGTCTGAGAAGGTATCAGGATCAGACGAAATTCGCCCCTGAAGCACTGGAAACGGACCCAGAGACTGCAAAACGTTTGGGAAGAAGGAAAGTTATCTACCCAGTGATTGGAAGAATATAGCAAAGAAAAGCGATTTAAGTCACTGCAAGAACTGGAGCGGAATCATTCTCTTTATCGACCTTGAAAAGGCCTTCGACAGCGTTGACTACGAAGTGATTTCGAAACTGCTTCGACACTGGAGTGCTCGAAGTATTTACGAACCTCATTCAGCGGCTGTATGACAGTGGCGCATGTCAGATGATCCACAGTGGAAAACTCAACGAGGCGTTTGAAGTGAGTACAGCAGTAAGACAAGGCTATCACCGATGATATTCCTAATTGTGGTGGACTGTATTATGCGTCAGACTGTGTGCAGGGAGCGAGAAGACAGGAATACGCTGCACTGACCGATAAGAAGACTCTAGAAGATCTGGATTTCGCAGACGATTTTTGTTCATTGACACACAATCTCAAAGACTTGCAGGCAAAAACCAACAAACTGACAGAAGAGACAGGCAGCGAAGCCAAGACTTCAGGTGAACTATAGAGAAAATGGAGGTGAAGGTGAACTGCCAAAAACAACACCGTCCAGCACCAATCACTATCAACGAAAGAAGTTTGACAGAGGTCATTTCCTTCAGTTATACTAGGTACAATCGTTTTCAGCTACTGGCGGAACAGATGACGATGTAGGAAAAATAAGGCCGGCCTTTATTACCCTGAAATCAATTAACAAATCTTGTACACTCCGCCTCAGCATAAATAACAAGATTCGGATTTTCAACACATTTGTGAAGTCAATCAGTTCTTCTATGTGGATGAGAAACTTAGCGCTCACGTCATGGAGAGCATTTCCAACAGGTCACCACAGATTTTTATCAACAACTGTCTTCACTGGCTCCTTATTGAAGATCAAAAAGCCAGCCAGAAAGAATTAGCAACACGAAACTATGGGAACAAACCAACCAAGAGCCGATCCCGCAACAAATATCTAGAATAAAGTAGAGATAGATCGCACATACGCTGATGAGTCTGTCGAATGACATCGCGCTGAATACGGACCATCGCTGGAGTGGAACCGGAATTCGGTCGGTCGGTCGGTTTTTGACATAGAACTTTGCACACACGTGCGGAAGTTCAAGTCGCCACACTCCCTCCTTGTGGCACACCAAGCAAGAGAAGAAAGTAGAAGAAATGCATAATATATTCAGTAAACAGAGGTGTGAGACAAAGGAATAGTAATAACGGAGAACAAAACAGTTTAATTGGAAATCATAAGTCACAAGGAGTGGATGCATCTGCGCCACTGACAACGACGATTTTGAGGCATATCACCAATTGTTTCCAGCCATTTGCTTTTACCGTCCCGAGGACCCCAACCAGGAAGCCAGTCTACACCTTCCTACGTGACTGGCTTAGACTAACTGTTGTGGATTTCATCGACTGGTGTCATGTTTTCGTTTGACCACCACTAGCTCTTTTCCAGCCTGGCCCTATATCAGGTAACATTGCCCATTTTCGAGGAAGATGATGACTAGGCATTGATGCGTAACACATGTCCTAACCATCTCAGTCGATGTAATTTCACAGTTTCGTCGACTGATTTCCCCGCCTTACCTAGCACTCGACACCTAACCTCAATATTGCTCACCTTATTATACCACTTCACGCGGGAGATAGAACGCAGACACCTATGATCGAACACAGAACCGGAATTGGAAACGACCAGTAGGTCGTCAGTGTGCGGGTAACATGGGGGAGATCGTGTGAATTGGAGGAGGAGATGAGAGATTATGGGCAATCGTGGGCCCAGATGAAGAGGATAGCAGAAAATAAAAGAAAGTGGAGATGTGTTGTTTTTAAACCCTATGTTCCACTCGGAACCGAAGGGAACAATAATAGTAATACCTAGAAATCAAACAATCACAATGACATATTATAACTCCCCAATATTTTTGTAAACTGTTTATTTAAAAAAAGAATGAAATACTCTTTCCCGCATTTAATGCTTCCATTTTTATTTATTGTCTTTTTTTCAATAGCTGCTATTGATATGTTAAAGAACCTGAATAGAACTAACAGTCCAATATTGTATGCATTCATGGTACCAAAATTAATGCGTTTAGGCTATTCACTGACAGATCTAATTGAACGAGTTCAGGTAATGCATAATTTTATTGAAATAATACCATCATAGAAAAAATTTATTTGATAAAGTCTCAGTCTTACACTGATAACGTTTTGCTCATAAGCATATCACAAGGCAGTTGTATAACTCCCAATATTTCTTAACATTTAATTTTATTGGTAGTAATATTTTACATATCTCTGGTATTGACGTGTTGCTTCATTCCTAGTGTATGTGTTGCGTGTAGATTCGATGAACAAAGAAAGATTCAGTAATCGACCTCTTCCTACACCTACCTATATAAAAATTTCTAGAACTATAATTGTGTCCCACCCTGTTGTTCTATGATGATTGGGTTTTGATATATCTGCATTACCATTGTTGAGTTGTTCTCTGAACTAGTCATCTTTGTGAGGTTAATCATTCCTATGCTCTGATAAGCCGAATGACCCTAATCTACACTGTTCTCTGGCGTAGGCGTGACATCTGGCTATCAACCAAGGGACGTGTGTACTGCTCACCAGTTCGCTCCGTCCTTCTCTATGGCTGTGAAACATGGCCAATACGATTTGAAGACATGAAAAGGTTGATCATAGATGTCTACGATCTCTTTCTCACGTTAAGTGGTATAATAAAGTAAGCAATGTTGACGTTAAGTGTAGTGTTGGGCAAAGAGGGAAAATCAATCGAAGAGGCTATAAAGTTACATAGATTGAGATGGCTAGGTCATGTGTTGTGCATGCCTAACCATCGCCTCCCCCTCCCGACGGGCATTACTAGCTGATATAGGTGCAGGTTGGTTGGAAAAGAGTAAGTGGTGGCCAAACAAAAACATGGCATCAATCCATGAAGAGATTCCATATTATTTTGTTTATTAGATATATCACACAGTGAAACAGTATTGTTTACTGGATAACGTTTCGAACAAAATTTATTGTTCATGATCATATCAGTTGTGTGTGAACAGAATCAATAGAGTTTTGACAAGTATAAGCGTGGAACAGAATGAGTAATGGTAGAAAGGAATATGAAAGATAACAGAGACTGAATACATCTGCGTAAGCCATTGACAACGATTTTGAGCCATGTCACCTATTGTCTCCAGCCATTGATTTTTAGAGTCCCGAGGGCGGGCCCCAACCCGGAAGTCTGCATCTCCCTACCTGACTCAGTTTAACTGTCAAGGATTTCATGGATTGATGAGGCCATGCTTTTGTTTGGCCACCACTTACTTGCCGTCAACATTACTTACCTTATTATACCACCTAACGCGAGAAAGAGATCGTAAACATCTGTGGTCAAAAACAGACAACCTTTTCATGTCTTCAAATCGTATTGGCCATGTTTCAGAGCCATAGAGAAGGACGGAGCGAACTGGTGAGCAGTACACACGTCCCTTGGTTGATAGCCGGATGTCACGCCTACGCCAGAGACGGTGTAAGTTAGCGAAAGCAGCCCGAGCTTTTTGCATCCGTGCTGAGATTTCGTCACCAATCAATCCGTTGGTGCTGAAGTGGTCAACATGTTCTATCAGCGTGCACTGAAATGACACGATGAAAAATTAGTACAATTAACATAACAGGAAATGTGAATTTTTTTTGACCATGTGGTGGGTGGTTAGTGAAGGAGGCGAAAGGCTTTTGAAGTGACTTCCGTGTTCCAAGGAAGTCAAGATTCACTGAAGAGAGATATGGACCTTTGACTAAGATTCTCCTGCAGAGAGAGTGAGTGAGTGAGAATAAAATATAACGTAGATGTGAAATTCCGCCCGGAATTTCGCTAGATTCAGAGAGAAAAAATCAGATCATACCCCGGGGAAAAATGCAACGCTGCGCATTAAAATTGTCATTGATCAGAGCATAAGTCGGCAGTTAACTCCTCTACACCTAAGAATTCATCGACTTCAAAAAACAGACTTTTGATAGCATCGATCGTGAAGTAATTTCAAAATGACATCAACACTACCTAGTGCAGTAAACCTTTGTAAACTGCATCCATCACCTGCTGTGATAATGCCACACTGATAGGAACCCAGCATAAAATAGTATATTATCCTTTTTCACAAATCTTGTGATTTATCTTGTAATGGAGTTACTAGGTGATTGCATCATTTCTCATGCATATTGTGATTTGTAGTGTCTGAGATCAGTTCATCGTCTTTTGTCTCACCTTCGTCTTTGTCGGTTTTGGTCAACCACTCAGGATAGATATTTCCAGCCAATAAGAACAATACAACATTCCCACGATTGCGAGCTGACTTTATTATGGTAGAGAAAGAAAGTGTATAATACAATGTCTTATAGTCACAGACCAGCCTGTTTCTTTGATATTTGCGTCGTGGCTCAATGAATCGGAAGGTACAACGGACAATAGGCATATTAGCGTACCAGTCCAGTTCATTACCGTTATAGTCATTAACAGGCTCAGGCATAACAAATTGGCAACGGAGTTATAACACACACGCTTAACGAATATGTGTGGAAGGAAATGGAGATGGGTAGGGCATACACTCAGCAGACTGTTGAGTAATGACATCATCATGCTTCAGATTGACGAGTGGAAAGCGAATGGGAGACGACGAGTTGGGCATGTGTCCTAGGATGACAGGAAGGGGATCGTGTGAGGAGGAATTGGAAGTGTATGGTCAATCATGGATCCAGGCAAAAGGGACCACGAGGTGGGGGACAGAGTGAGATAAGGATGTGTTGCTGAATGATGATGATGATAATAGCAGTCGTAATATTAATGTAAGTAGTATAATATAATTTAGATTTCAAGCTTTCAGTATAAATTAAGCTTAATGAGTGTTGCACGTACACGTACACTCGCTTTATTTTTTCTTTCATAATTTTTTTTTTCCTCTTCATTTCGGCATCTTTTCCGCCTTCTTATTCATTTTTTTTTGTATATACCTATTTCTTTTGACAGAATCCTGAAATTAATGGAGCTTTAGCCTTTGGATATGTACTGAATTCAGTGTTATCAATTGATTCTAAAGAAACCTATAAAGAAGATTTTAAAAAATGTTTATCCTTGGTAAATGAATGTCGTGCTAAAAAGCTTCTCCCCTACACTGATTTCATACGTGTTGGCAATTATCAAATGGAGAAATTGGTAAGCTGTTAACTGGACACCTACACATGTTGTATATATATACATATATATATATATATATATATATATGTACATGATTACTACAAGCCTGGTCCTCTGTGTTTTTATTTTTTGGGTTTAGTATATATATATATATATCTTTTTCCACGTCGGTGGCACAGCAGTAAATGTTTGCCAACTATGCATGTGGTTCGGGGTTCGATCCCAGGCCATTAACTCACTCCTTTACCTCGCTAAGTCAGTAATAAGACTGGTAAAGAGGGAAGGTTGGGTATGAGGCTAGCGCAACTCCATCCCGTAAAAATAAACACCACTGCTACGGAAACTCCAAGCCTTTAGCTTGAAGGCGCCCTATATTCCATTGGGTATGTAAAGGAATAAAAAATAAATAAATAAAAAACTAGTTTAACCTATAGCATTCACTTCACGGTCATGACATGTTATTTTGTAAGTCATGTTAGTTTTCTCTCAATTTAATCTATCGGGTATTTAAGCTGACAAAGTTTGTCTCTGAGTGAGTGAGTGAGTTTGGTTTAGTCGATAGTTAACCCATGGGAGATGAGAGGTTTTGGTATGAGATTAGCAATCCCCCCACCCTTTAAAAAGCAACAGTGCCGCTAGTGACACTTCTCAGCCTGTGAAGCTCTATGTTCCTCTTGGTACGGAAACAACGAACAAGAGAGAAATAACTTATTTAGCTTTCAGTAACATGTATCCAATTTTATATAAATGTTTAAGAGTCAGTCACCATTTTTGAGATAAGGAGAACAAAATTTGCAATATTTTGACGCTTCTCTTCAGCTATAGGATGCATAGTGGATTGTATTTTAAGAGACTATATTATTATTATTATTTCCTTTAATTCCTAGAGGAACATAGGGCTTCAGTCGTGCGTCTCCATCGCGTTCGGTTCTCTGCTAAAGTCTTCACCTGGCTCCAAGTCTGTCCACACGTTTTCATCTCCTCTTCACATCACCTCCTCCAAGTCACCCTTGCACTGACTACCAACTCGCCGCTTCCTTTTCGGGTTCCACTCGAGCAATGGCTAGTCTAGTAATGTTACTTGATGGTTTCCTCAGAGTATGGCCAGCCAATCCATCTCCATTTCTTCCTGCCTATTTGTTTCACAATCGGTTCCTGCTGTGTTGGTTCGCTCCCAGAGATCCCTGTTACTGATCTTTTCTGGTCGACCATCTGATATTGACGAAGTATTAAGCGAAGACAACTGTGAATGATGGTCTGTAGTTTGTTTGAGGTGCACTTTATGACGCGCCGAGTCTCTGATCCGTATAGTGAGTAGCACTGACTTCCAATTGGAGTTGAAGATCCGGATGTTATTTTTGATGCTGAGTGCTGTTGACCTCCACATAGACTTGAGAGTAGTGAAAGCTTGTCTTGCTTTCCCGATCCTTGCTTTGATATCCTCGTCAGTTCCGTCTGCCTGTAGTTGGAACAATGCTTCCCAGGTAGGTGAAAGAGGTTGTTTCTTTCAGGTTCCTCCCATTTATGCTGATTGTTGTTGTTGCTGTTGGTGTTGGCCAGGAATCTTCATCACCCCTGTTTTCTCTATGTTCACCTGAAGTCCTATCTTTCATAGTTCTTCTGCCAACTTGTTGTTTTTCACTTGCATATCTTCCAGTTTGTGGGAAATCAGACATATATCATCGGCGAAGTCCAGATCCTCTAAGTTCTTTGTGCGAGTCCATTTTATGCCTGTTTCCTCATTGCCCGCTGTTTGTCGCATTATCCAGTCTACTGCAATCAGGAAAGTCATTGGTGATAGTAGGCAGCCAGATTGTCTTACTCCTGTCCTCACTTCGAAGGATTCCGTAAGTTTCCCATTGTGGATTACTTGGCATGCAGCATTGTCGTACAACTGTTGGATGAGATGTATAATTGTCGGTGGCACCCCTTAGTAGTAGCGAAGTAATTGCCAAATCACCTCTCGATCGACGCTGCACTGTCGAAGGCCTTTTCGAAGTCAATGAAGTTGAGATAGACAACTGATTGCCATTCCAAGCTTTGTTCAATGATGATCCGTAGTGTGGCGATTTGATCAATACATGGCTTGTTTCTGCTGAATCCAGCTTGTTCAGGTCGGCGTGTTTGATTCTCTCCAGGTTTTTTCTTTTTACAACTATGTCTAATGTTAACTTTATTCATATCATCATCATGATTACATAATTTTTTCTTTTTTTTGTTTTCTAAATTGCCTTTCAGTTGTTAAACATCCTGTCGTTATCAGATATGTCAGAGATAGAAGAAATGAAAAAGTCGACTATTATGTTTGAAGTATTTGGTATATTGAATCATGCTATGACTAAACGTGAATTCCATTCACTTTTTGCACAAACATTTGAAGCTTTGTTAATATCTAAACATCGATATTTTAATAATGTACCAAAAAATACAGTGATTCAACTTGTCGCTGATGTCTGTGCTCGTCAGGTAGGTGACTAGGCATAGAGAAGTAGGAGTTATACATATGATGTGATGAATATATCACAATTTGCAACTTTTATTTTTTATTTTTACATTTATGTGTGTGTTTTTTATAATCCTTTCTGTTGTAGGAGAGTGCTTCTTCTTCTCTTTCTTCTCCATCTGTTCATGCATGTGTTAGGTTACCTGAAACGGGTCTCTCAATGTGTATCATATCAGGCTGTGAGGAGGCACTTTTATCATATGAGTATGGATGATACTACCGAATTGTCTTAGGTCATGAATGAAGTGAAGCAGGACTCAAACCAAGTGACCTATTGGTTGAGATGTAAATACTTAAGCCGATGACCCACATCTTCACTTTGTGGTTCGCCACTGTGTCTGTTGTTCAGTCAGGTAGTAGTAGTAGTAGTCAGTAGTACTACTGTAGTTGTAATTGAGTATCTTGTTTTTCGTCCTAGTTTGGGACTCTTCATCAGCACACACCACAGGAGGTTCAACCCTAAGACCTTCTAGTTACAAGGCAAGTAAAAGGTTGCGTAACTGAATAAAAGAGAGAATAAAGACATCCAGTTACCAGGTTGGCAAGGGAAAACTGATAACTGCTTCTTTCTGAAAACATAAATCGAATTTCCGGTGTTTGATACAGATTGCTTCGGCAAACTTGAGGAGAATTGAACTCTTGCCTATTTATAATTTCAAAGGATTCTGCGGTGTCCACCTTATGACCCGTATCAAGGAGATGCCTGTTAATGGTGTAACAACAGAAGACAAGGGCCAGGCAACAGATCGTTTATTAGGGAAAATCAACACATATTTATAGATTTTGATGTACATTATTGTAGGTTAATGTTAGTAGAAAATACAGTCTTTTGATCGGTTGTTTCTCACAGATAGTACTTAACCTTGCATCTCTTTGTGGCTGTGTCAGATTATCCATATGCTAACTGTATCCGCCTACGCAAAACCTTTGTTCTCATTTCGTCACCACCAATATTGAGGACATAAACATTGACGTCAATTACTGTCTACCAACTTTGGGTAGTAGCCACCTCTCACCACAATGGCACTATTGGAAGCGTTTGTTACCTTGGGACGTTGGCTTTTCGGTATATGCTCAGAAAATTGAACGTGTGCCCTTCTTTCTGTTCTCCCACAGATACACGTAGATTTATATCCACAATGAGAGTTAACATGAGAAGGGTATCCGTCGACTTTTGATTTTCACCAATGAGCATGTTGTTCAGTAGACTTAAAAATGTCTTTAGACTGTAAGCAGCTAATGAGAAACCGACGAAATGAATGATGGTACCATTGTATTCTGCACAAATCGCTGTTGTTCTTACTTAATACAAAATATTCTATGGTCTATAAATCTGAATTGCTGAAAAGGTGCCTAAAAAGCGCATTTTAGTTTTTTGTTCTGATTGGTGTTATCAGCTCATTTCTTATATGAGATCTACCATCCCAGTGTAAAAAGCTAATGATTGCTGTTTTCGGAATGATTGTATAAAATTTAAACAACTGAGTGAGTGAGTGGTACTCCTGGATCATTTTTGTTGATCAACGTCTGTCTCTCGCTTAAATAATACTGACTGCAACACATTTTATGTGCCAGATCACCGTTATTGATTATGATACTTTCGACTCAGATTTTAATGAGACATTATTTGTTTATCTACTGTGAGAGATGTGTTCACCTACGTTGATTCCTTATAAACGTTATTACTCAAAAGCTGTTTTTTTATTGTATATTTTCCTTTTATAGAATATTGTTTTCGATAAAACTGATTGGTTATTGTCTGCAATGAGAAGTTCTGGTGTGTCAGAGGTATGTGTATATATATTTGATATTTTCATAACCGTAGAATAATGTATACTTTACTGTTTTGAACTATACAACTCAAACTTGTCCTATGGACTGATCTATGATCATTGTCATTTGTGCCATACTCTACTTTCAGTTGGTGTGTGTCACGATTTGACTGAGTTAAGAAAATGGATCAAGATGGATCATAATGAATTATTATTTATTATTATTATTATTGTTCCCTTGGGTTCCTAGTGGAACATACGGCTTCAACTCCACGTCTCCACTTGCTTCTGTCTTCTGCTGTACTTTTCACCTGCATCCATGTTAGTCCATACTGTTTCAAATCCTCTTCACACGATCTCCTCCATGTCACCCTCCTTAGACGTCCTACTCGCCGATTCCTTTTCGGGTTCCACTCGAGCACTGGCCTGACGCGTGATATCACCCAGCGGCCTCCTCAGCGAGTGTCCAATCCATCTCCATGAACAGAAGAGCTTTATGTGTACGAGTGGGGTGGTTATATCTTCCCGATTGTTACACCATTTCCTGGAATACCTGAAAACAGAAAAAGCGTTAGTATTGCAGAGAACCACCCCCTTGGTAGATAACTGATGATGGAGATCATATGCATAGAGTTACACATGGCCTGTTTGAATTGTGTCAGTGTATTCAAAACTTACACTATTTACATACTTCAGACTAAGTCGTAAAGTACTTCAAGATGTACAATTTTCGGAGTCAACCTTTTTTTAACCTGCGCCCTCCACAGACGACCGGAGAGGAGATAGCATATCTGTCCTGTTGGTCATCCCATGGGGAAACACACCTTATTACACTGTTTAATAAATGCTTTACTCGCCTCCAGCTGTACCACTGATTTTATCTCTAGACTCCTATAATTATATATTTTGAGCGATTTATACTATGTTGTCACTATTTAAAGAGCTCAACTAAAAACAGTTGTAGCTTATCACCGCGTGAATGAACATTTTCACGATTGACGGCTGGTAAGAGGATATAAGACGTATGTGTTCTAACAAGATATTGTCTCCTATGGTATGTGGTCTAGGGCTAGTGTGTAGAGTTAAAGCGGAACAGTATCCTTTCCATTGTTGCATTCAGTCTCTGTTATCAGGTTGGTCGGTCGGTTTTCGACATAGAACTTTGTTATCTGTTATCAAATCAAATTTGTATTCCTACCCATATATATATATATATATATATATATATATATATATATATATATATAATTCCCCTAGGCTCCGAATGGAACATAGAGCTTCAACAACACATCTCCTCTCTCTCCTATTTTCTGCTGTCCTTTTCAGCTGGGTCAACACGATTGCCCATAGTCTCCCATCTCCTTGCCACCACATGGTCATCTCCGTGTCACCCTCAGATGACCGACTCATTGCTTCCCATCGGGATTCCACTCGAGCGATGGCCTGCATTGAGCGCAGTGTTATTTGATGGCCTCCTCCTCCTCCTAATCCATCTCCATTTTCTCCTACGTATTAGTTGAGCAATCGCCTCTTTTTTAATTGGTTTTTTCCACTGCAGAGCCTCTTCTTACTAATTCTTTCTGACCATCTGATCTTCAGTATGGAGCCAGCCAGCGAAGGCAGCTGTTGATGAAAGTCTGCAACAGGCTGTTGGAAATCCTTTTCATGACACACTGCCAAGTTTGTGACCCGTATAGAAGGACCGACTTCACATTGGTGTTGAAAATCCGAATCACGTTCTTTATGCTGAGGTGGAGTACAGTGCAGAAGATTTCCAAACTGGTCTCAGGTTGATGATAGCGTATCTTGGCTTCCCGATTTTAGCTAACTTTGACATCTTTATTCGTCCCGACTGCCTGTAGTTGAAACAGTGTTTCCTAGATAAGTGAAGGCAGTAACCTCTGTCAGATTTCCTCCGTTGATGGTGATTAGTGCTGTTTGTTGTTGCTGTTGGTTAGTTAGTTGGTTGATTATCTTCATTACCTCCGTTATTCTGTATGTTCACCTGGAGTTCCTTGTTGCTAATTTATTCATTCTCGTTGACCATCTAATCTTCAATATCGAGAGAGTGTGGCAGCTGTTAAGGAAAGTTTTCACTAACCTGTTGAAAGAAATACTTTTGGTTATGCTGTCACCAAGTCTCTGAAACATATAAAAGCAATGATTGATTAAACATAATTATTAATAATATCGTTTGCTCGTAATATAGTATATTACTAGTCTGGTGAGAGCTGTCTGCTAGCCAAAATTGTAGACAACAATTTACGTCAATGTTTACCTCCTGAATCGGGGTCATGAGAAAAAAAAGCAGTTACAAGGCTTAACCTTGAAGAACTCACCGACCAATCACAGCAGACTTAACGTGTGCAAATACGATTCGCAGATATATGGCCTGACTTTCTAAGAAATGGCGAGAAAGAGATGACAAAAAAACCTTAAGCAAGAAAACAACCAATCAGAAGACGTTGCTTCTTTCCTAACAATAACGCTAATAATAATGTTCATAGAAATCTATAAATACCTCTTGATTTTCTCAATAAACGATCTGTTGCGTGGCTGTTGTCTTCTGTCGTTACACTAGTATTTATTAAGAAGACGAAATACATTCGGATCATCTCTTTCTAAAGTATCGTTTTGGTCCACTGTCTCTATTTTTTAAATGATATCGGGGTTTGAGTAAGCCAAAATAATAAGCTGGATTATCGTACCTACTTATCCAATTGAATATGAGAATCAACATTGAGAATTATGCTTCTCTCATTCGTCCAAAACATTTACAATAATTTGTAGATGATATTCCTCTTGAATGTAAATTACTTTTAATAAAAACGATATAAAAACAATAATATAATAATGAAATTTAGGTATTTTAATTGTCTAAAAACGTCTATTATGAATTTTAAAACACTCACTGGTGAACAAAAAATATTTTCTCTCTCTCTCTCTCTCTCTCTCTCTATATATATATATATATATATATATATATATATATATATTCAAGTAACTACTTTTGTTTTTCGAGTATGACCACGGATTGATATCAGTTAGAGAACCATTGAAAACCAGCACTGGAGTACTGAACAACTGTTTCATCGTAGTTTGGTAATCATCGGCAGAACCCACCCACCACAGGGGGTTCGAATACGACCTTCAGACTACAAGATAAGCTTGTATCCCATTCAGCCACTGGGACCCGCAGAGTCTCCTGGAGTATTTCTAGTGAGAAGTCGTTACCAGTGAAGCGCCCATACAGTCGACAGTGAGGATGGATTTCCCACGGATGACATTAGTTGATGCCACTTGTGCTAAATCACGAAATGGTAGAAGTTAGAATTCATAGGTGTGCGTCGGTGGCACAGCGGTAGAGTGCTCACCGACCACGCAGGTGGTCCCAAGTTCGACCCCCGACCATTAACGCACTCCTCTACCTCGCTAAGCCAGTAGTAAGGCTGGTAAAGAGGGAAGGTTGGCCATGAGGCTAGCAACCCCATCCTGTAAAAGTAATCACCACTGCTACAGAAACTTCAAGCCTGTAGCTTCAAGCGGTATGTTACACTGGGAACGTAAAGGAAGAAAAAATGAATTCATTGGGTGCCCGTTGAATCGAGTCCCAGTGGCTGAGTGAGATACGAGCTTGTCTTGTAAATAGGAAGGCCGTGAGTTCGAACGTGGCAATGAGGGGTGGATGCGCGTACTGCCGATGAGTCGCAAACTAGGCTGACGAGACAGCTGTCGTCCAGCACTGCCTGTTGGGTTTTTTTCAATGGTTCTCTAACTGATAGCAATTCATGGCGAAACTCGAAAAAACAATAAAAAAACAAATCAAATTTTGAAAACTAATTTTGCCTTTTTCGTATTTTTTGTATACACACACTTCAGGAGACTCTAATACGGCTCACTGTTGATTATTCGACAAATCGACTTCCGTAAGTATATTGATATATTATACATTTCCATATTCAGTTTTTTTTCTTTTTAAATAACTCAACTGAGAATAGAAACAACAAACTTCGGGAACACATAGAGTTTAACGCATGAGAAATAATGACTTCACATTATCCGATTCGCTTTTTTTTATCAGATATCAAATGGATAAACAACAGGAATGTGTGTGTGTTAGACAGAAATAGTCCATTTGGCCTTTTTTTAAAAAAAAAGAACCTCAGTGTGGTGACATACTTTAATGTGTGGTTAGTCATCCAAGAAGATCATAACTGAGGGTTATCTTAAGTTGTAATTTTTTGAACCTCAATTATTTTTATCAGTATCAAAGAGTTAGCCAGTATAAACTGGCTTCATACTTTTATACTGTGAAGTGGTATAATAAGGTGAGCAATATTGAGGTTATGCGCCCAGTGCTAGGTAACGAGGGGAAATCGATCGACGAGGCTGCGAAGCTACATCGACTGAGATGGTTAGGACATGTGTTACGTATGCCTAGTCATCGTCTTCCTCGACAATGCGCAATGTTAGCTGATATAGGGTCAGGCTGGAAAACAGCTAGCGGCGGTCAAACGAAAACATGGCACCAGTCAATGAAATCCACAACAGTTAGTCTAAGCCGGCCACGTAGGAAGGTGTAGACTGGCTTCCTGGTTGGGGTCCTCAGGACGGTAAAAACCAATGGTTGGAAACAATTGGTGACATGGCTCAAAATCGTTCTCAATGGCTTGTGCAGATGCATCCACTCCTTGTGACTCATGATTCCCAATGAAACTGTTTTGTTCTTCGTTATTACTATTCCTTTGTCTCACACCTCTGTTTACTGTCTCTAATATGCATTTCTCCTACTTTCTTCTCTTGCTTTGAGTGCTTTGAGTGTGGTAACTTGAACTGCCGCACATGTGAACAAAGTTCTATGTCGAAAACAGACAGACAGACATCCCGTTTATACTGTCATGTAGAGTGGTAGTTTAGTAAGAGCGAATTTGTGCCATCACCCTGGTGTGCGTGTGTGTGTGCATAATAAATCATTTTCCATTAACCTGTCCCGCTTTTTGTAAAGACGTAATGCACTAGCTTAAGGACTAAGCTTTCTGTCAGTGGGTGGTCCAGGGTTCGAGTCCCGCTCCATATACTTCAGTTTGGACCATTGAGTATTACCTTACCCCTCCCCCCCTACGCACACACACACACACACAATAAGTGCTGCTCAGTTCTGCTTTTTGTTCTTCCGAAATGGGACTGTTGTCTTCAATAAACAATCTATGAGATTTCCAACCGTATAATGAAAGCTAGGGTGGCATACATCAACTTGAGCCACCTCTGGCGCCGTCGCGACGTTAGCATGGCTGTCAAAGGTCGGGTATACAATGCTTCGGTGTGGGCTGTCTTGCTCTATGCCTGTGAAATCTGGCCTCTCCGAGCTGAGGATGTTCGGCGACTCTGCGTGTTCGATCGTCGCTGTCTCCGCAGGATTGCTTGCGTTCGATGGCATCATCGCGTGAGTAATTCCGAGGTTCGGCGGCGTGTGTTTGAACACAGTGGAGATCACCATTCATTGAGTGTCGTCATCTGGAAACACCAGCTCCGGTGGCTTGGACATGTGCTGCGAATGTCATATCAGAGGCTTCCTTACAGGTCTCTGTTCGCAATACCTGGGACGGGATGGAAAAGGCGGAGGGAGGGGTGGTCAGTCCATGGTGTCGTGGGATGAAAGATATTTGTGCTAGATTAGCATTGGTTGGTGTGTCAAGACTCCCTAGTTGGGGTCCGCGAGATAGCTCGAAACGTTATCGGATATGGCCAAGAATCGTAATCAATGGCGAACGTGTTGCAATTTCCTTCTTTCTTCCCTTCCTGATGATAGTTAACGAATACTGTTTGAACTTGTTAAACATGACTGTTTTCCTTCCAGATGAAGTTCTTTGTCCGTTTTCTACTTATATTTTTACTTTTAATCTATGTTGTTTTATTATTATTGTGTGGCGCATCTTTCTTGGTGCCATATTGTACCAAGTTTTTTCTGCGTTTAAATAAGGTTCTCCTTTGTATTCGTGCGACACTGTTGTAGTTCACTCCTTAAAATGACATCGATAAGATTATGGTGTCTTACAGTTTGTCGTTATTCGATGAAGTGTGTCCGTGGTCCATCTATACACTGTTCTGAATACTTGACTTCTTTTTGAAGTGTTTTCCTAAGTCCAGGACATTTTATAATGTTATGATCTCCATAGAATGCAGCCAACCCTGTAGTGTATATATGCACGGCATTTTAATCTCTGTCTGTTCTGTTTTCAACATAGGAGCTTTGCACATATACGCGGCAGTTCAAGTCGCCACACTCCCTCCTTGTAGCACACAAAGCAAGAGAAGAAAGTAGGAGAAATGCATATTAGAGACAGTAAACAGAGGTGTGAGACAAAGGAATGGTAATATCGAAGAACAAAACAATTTCATTGGAAATCATAAGTCACAAGGAGTGGATGCATCTGCACCAGCCATTGAGAACGATTTTCAACCATGTCACCAATTGTTTCCAACCATTGGATTTTACCGTCCCGAGGACCCCATGCAGGAAGCTAGTCTACACCTTCCTACGTGGCTTAGACTGACTGTTGCAGGTTTCATTGACTAGTGCCATGTTTTGGTTTGACCACCGCTAGCTCTTTTCCAGTCTGGCCCTATATCAGCTAACATTGCCCATTGTCGAGGAAGGCGATGACTAGGCATACGTAGCACATGTCCTAACCATCTCAGTCGATGTAGCTTCACAGCTTCGTCGATTGATTTCCCCTTCTTACCTAGCACTCGACGCTTAACGTCAATATTGCTCACCTTATTATGCCACTTCACGGGCATTTTAATTAGTTGAGTACTTCACATATGTACACACACAGACAGCTGTGAATGTTATAATCCAGTATACACACTGTGTTTATAGTGGCATCAAATGCACGAATCATTCTTCCTCTTGATGATTGCTTGATATCTACTTTAAAGTATTGTAGACAGGTTTAAGTTATGATCTCAAATTTGCTCACGAATTGATTTCAATTAGAGAAACAATCAGAAACCAGAGAGCTATTTCGCCGTTATATAGGAGTCCTAGGCACCACGCACTTATGATCCCCCCTAGGGATCGGACCTGTGACCTTCAGGTTATTAGCGGAGCTTTAGTGTATACCTTTTCATCCACTGGAACGGAATCCAATAATGACTCGTCAATTCTAACTTCTGCCGATTCACGAGGTTACCGCCACTACCAGCCATTGTTATTAGTTAGTGTGTGTCTTCACACCTAACTTGATGGATCTCATCGATCACGACTTCGTCGTTTCAATCCCTAGAGTGGCCATGAGTGTGTACTGCTAAAGAGTTCCGAGCAGGGACGAAACAGCGATGCAGTATTTCATAGCTTTCAGCAGTTGTTTAACTGTGAAGACAATTTGTGGTCGAAATTGAAGTCAATTTATTCCCCCAGCAAACTGATGCTTGAAAAAAGTTTCGATCAGTTATAATTTTACATGTATATGAAATGCCGTTCCTGAATCATTCTTCATTGGGTTGTGGTGTCTTATTATTATTATTGTCTCCTTTAGTTCCTAGAGGAACATAGGGCTTCAGCCTCACGTCTCCATTGCGTTTGGTTCTCTTTATTTTATTAACCTTGTTAAAAAAGTTTTCTCTTTTCAACTTTTAGCTTTGCAGATCTAAACGCCCTGTTGTTCAGTGGACGAATAGCAGGTAAGCGCCCTATATATATTTAACTCATATTGACAAGATATTTTTATACTGACACCTTCAGGAGCTATATTTTATTACCATTAATATGATTCATTCTTTGGGCTCCGAATGAAATATAGTGAGTGCCACATCAGCACATCTCCATTGCATTGTTGGTTTTCTTTATTAGGCTGCACAATTCCTCATAGGCTTTATTTTCTTTTCTACTTCATTTGACCGTCTCCTTTGAGGACAAGGCTGACGTGTGGCTTTCTCCGCGCTTGTCCAATCCATCCACAGGTGGTTGCTGACTGGTTTTTTTTATCAAAGTTTCTTGTTAGTACCTTAGCCTTTGCCTTTACGCCGGGACATCTGATGTTCAGTATCGTGCTAGTAAAGTCAGATGTTAATAGAAAGTCCTCACTAGCTGCTTGTGGGTGTAATGCCTTTGGTGGTGACGTGTGCATCACTTCTCTGAAGCTTATAGAGATAGGAACGCTGACTTAACCTCAATTGTTCGAAAATTCGAAGTTATATTTCGTCTATCTCTCCCATGCGTTAAAGATCTTCGAGTATTCTTTACACAGCTGTTTTGTATTATACTCTATTCACATTTACTGCCTTTATCATTTTATTCAGTTTCAGTGTTTCACAGATTTTTTCATTCTGTTGTTGACACAAACTCTGGTTGATAACAATTATCCAGACAGTTTCATCAGGAGATATAAAGTAGTCAGAATACCAAGAACTATTCTCCAACTCGCCACTAAGAAAGACGTCTACATCAAGCTACCTTATATGGGGCATCAAAATAGCTTGATAACTAGACAAAGACTGAACGCTGCTGTTAAAAAAAGACTTTTTATGCAGCTAATATCATAATAATTGAGAATATGAAGCCAATACATCCATTCATCTAAGCCCTTTGAACATGTGAAAAATGATGTCACATCCTACTGTATTTACCAATTTCAATGTACGTATGGACACACACACATAGGAAGGACTCCGCAAGTAACGGCTGGCTTCAGAACATATTCTTAAATGGCTCCAGAAGCAAACAGAATCCTCAGAACCCATTCATAGTGAGAACAGGAGTCCTAGCTCCTCTATTGCGAAGCATATTATAGAGACAGGACATATAATTGACGTTAACACATCTTTTAAACCTATCTATCTATAGAACGTGTTTGGGGCATATCGTACTAAAGTTTGTGGAAGCCCTAGCTAGCAATTAAGAAGTTTAAACCGCCTTTATGTGGTCAAAGCAACAATTCGTCATCACATACTAAACCTACCTTCCTTGGTAAACTTTGTTTTGATAGCAGCCAGGTTTAGTGATCTTCATTGTTATTTTGACCTTCAATGTGTTCATTTTGTTGTTGTTCTATTCTATTCTAATTTTTTTAAAATTCTGTCTGTTCTCAAGGAATTGGAAGTAAATCAAATGAAAAGTCATCAACCACTGCTGGTCAAATGGTATGTTGATAATTGATAAACTTTTCTTTTTTGATTTGCATACTTACCTTCGTTAGTAATAAATGGTTGGAGGCAATCAGCAGGAAGCCTTCCATCTAGCTTTTGTGCTAGTTGGCACCCATCAGCATGGCGTATATGCAACCACGAAGGAACTCATGTCCCTTCTGAGATTCGATCCCGCGTCACCCTGTGCTACAGTCAGAGACGTTACCACTG